GTTACTATGTGTTTTGAGTGTTTTGTTTTGTTTTTTGCTATGTCATTATGCATATATGGGTGGTTCCTAGGGTATTGCTAGGTGGTAACCAGAGTGTTGTTATGCATCTGCTAAGTTTTTGTGATTGGAAATACCTACACTGAGTTGAAGTTATTTATTGATTGATTGATTGATTGATTGTCTGTCATTGTCACTGTCAACTTTTTTTTTTTTTAGGAAGCTTGAAAAGATCATTTCCAGGAGAGAAGTAATAATGTGTTCTATCTGTGAACTTTCATTAAATCATTCATTTGTTTTTTAATATGAACAATTTTTTAAAGTGAACTCTATTTTGGAACCTGTCAGTTCTGGGCACATTATTGTACTTGGGGTAACTGTTTCTGTTATTTTTATGATTAAATATATTCCATGTCTTGTTCCAATCGGAGCTACATCTATTAAAACAACACTATTGAGCTGAAGAGATGAGAGGATTATGATAGATATTTAACCTAAATATTTTTCGTTTGTCTGCCCAAGTCGTTATTGTGTTGTTGTTATTTTTGTAGGTTACTAGGTTTATACACATAGCACCACATTGTTTCAAAGTATACCTTTGGTACCACAATAACAGAGCAGGGCTTCATAACTCAGGGTTAAAGGTGGCTTTAACCTGCAGTTTTAAAATGCATTACGGGTTAAGCATAGTTTAAAAAAAACCTGGTTACTATTTTTTTGAGCATGTCTGCTTGTTTGCGTACCGGTTAGATCTTTCAACAAGTCCAAAGACAAAGTGAACCACCTGATATGTTTGTGTCTTGTTTTCCCAGTGGGGTGTTTTAGCTTTGAAAGAAGAAAAGGGATTGAAGGTGTAGTGCCAGTGGTGCTCATCAAGGGGCCTTGTTCTTTACTGCTTTTACACTTCGCCCAATCAATAATGGATCATCAATTACAAATAGGCTGTTGGAGGCTTTCAGAATGTCATCCTAAATTAAACATCTACACCTATACATTAAAACTGAACACAGTCCTACCATTTTTCCAAACACTATGCGGAAAAAAAGCATTTTTTAGAATTGAATAAGGTTTAACAGGAACATCTCACCATGTGTTCAGCTTCATCAGTGCACTGACTTTAACCTTTCACACGGATGTATAATCACTATTATTCATTTTTAATAGGCAATCCCTCTGTGACTCTATTTTTAAACCTAACCTTATTAATAATTGTAATTTCTCATAAGTCCAATAAAAGAAACCTATTCAGCATTCATTCATAACCTGATCAACTGTGTATATTCAGCAGGAAAACAGATGCTGTTTTTTTTTTCTGGGATGAAATTAATAATTTAAAAAATAATGTAAAAATTTTTTAATTTGAAATTAAAAATTTTAAATAATTTTAAAATTTATAAAGCAGAATATATGCTTTATAAGCACTAATAAACAGCAAATATGTTAATAATAGACATGATTATAAGCAACTAGTTAATAGTGATAATTGGTCCCTATACTAAAGTGTTACTGAGACTTCTTTCAAAAACAATTCAAACTCCTACTTAACTGTGTATTTTTACTGTTATATGTAATTTTTGTATTCTTATAATAAATATAAAATGTATTACATTTAAAATCTAAACATTCTATAATCATATCTGTGTGCATGTGTGAATGTATGTATGTACTGTATATGTGACCCTGGACCACAAAACCAGTCTTAAAGGGGTCATATGATGCTGCTAAAAAGAACATTATTTTGTGTATTTGGTGTAATGAAATGTGTTTATGCGGTTTAAGGTTAAAAAAACACATTATTTATTGCATTGCTAAGAACTTCATTTGAACAATTTTAAAGGCGATTTTCTCAGTATTTTGATTTTTATGCACCCTCAGATTCCAGATATTCAAAAAGTTGTATCTCGGCCAAATATTCTAGTCCTATCCTAACAAACCATACATCAATGGAAAGCTTATTTATTCAGCTTTCAGGTGATGTATAAACCTCAATTTCGAGAAATTGACCCTTATGACTGGTTTTGTGGTCCAGGGTCACATATGTGTTTATATAATCTAAAATGAATTTATATATTTAACTTCAGAAGTGTAGTGCTATTTACAACAGAGAAAAAAGTATTCATGTTGTTTATTAAAGCTCAAAAGTAAGTCAATATCTACTTCAGGTGTATGGAAGAGAGTGACCAGGACATTCATCAGAATTTCTCCTTTTTTCTTCCACAGAAGAAAGTCATATGGGTCTGGAACGACATGAGAGTGAGTAAATGTTGAAATGATGATGAAGAATTTTCTTTTCTTTTTTTTGTCCCTTTAAGCATAAGCCTTATAGATCAAAAGGATTTTAAGATCTAAACATAAATTAAGTCAAGTGCATCCAAACCTCTCCCAGGTTTCTCTCCCAGCACCTATAAGAGAAATGTATACGCTTGTATATTTGTATTATTGTCAGAGTGCTGGTTGGAGGCCGCAGTACACCAGCTCATACCTCCACAGCCCCTCTGAAGCTGAGCTTTTTGGCACTAAACCCAAATCTTGCACTCAGAGAGCAGTGTGGGAACCAGTAGGGGGGAGAAGGAGGCGTAAGGACAGGGTTAATGAGTCCGTAGTGGGAGAATATCAGTTCTTTGAGACTTTTTATGGACTGTTATCAGTTAAGATTGTGTTAAGAATAATTTATCATATAATGCAGTGTTTTGTGTATTTGCATTTATTTTAGATATATTTATAATGTTTGTTTGTTGCTGTCTCTATATTACTATTGCAAAAACTCACTACCATAATGCCGTACTAACTGTTCAGTGACCAGAGGAAAATCATATATCCTGTTTGAAATATAGATGCAGTAATACAGTATATGACCCCTGTAGATTCAGGAAGTGCAAAAAGAAAAAAGAAAAGCCACCCGGTGAAACTTTCTGTTGATTTTAAAGTACTTTTCTTGAAAAGAGTGACGTAACTGACCAAAAAATGCGATTTGGCATTGTTGCATGCTGAAATGCATTGCGTTTATGTCCATTTTAAAGAAAACGACAGAACAATTTTTCACTATACAATAAGAAGAAACATACAGAGGAGCTATTTTTTCATAAACATATTGAACAACTCATGCTTTATCAAACTTGCGTTAGCTGAATTGTTTTGGATGAAACTTTCAGTGTAAAGTGATGGCATTATGGTTCATTTTTTCCATTATGTTACTAAGGGACAGTCACTTCTTGATGATACAATGAATTCTGTGTTCTTCTTCCTTTTTTGCTGATAGCATTAGTTATTTTTCCAAACAGAAGAGAGAAATTTCAACCTTGGGCAAAATTAGCTCTATTAACACACACACATAAACCTCAAACCCAAGGCACTGGTAAACCGACTATTGCTGGTCTCTTGTTTTTCTCAATGGTGCTATGTGGAAGAATGCTGCCGACCCCCACCGACACATCCAGCCCTCATGCATTCATCACCACAGCCAGATAAAATAATGCCTCTGCTTTATTGTCCCATTCTCCTCGCCTTAAACCATCAACCCGTAAACAGTCTGGACCATGTCACAGCCCTAGATAACACATGCATCTCCTCTGGCCTTTTATCTACTTTTAATTGGATTAAATTCATTATTGAAATCTGCATGTTCCTGCACCTACCTACCTACCTACCTATCTATCTATCTATCTATCTATCTATCTATCTATCTAGTGGCTTAGTCTTTCATATCTGAACATTTGCTTAAAACAAAAAATACTGCTACCATTATTATTGTTATTATAATAATAATGTCATTAAAATATAATACAAAATATGTCATTTTATTTTCTTCTTTCATATTCAAATAAACACTACTCCCATTGTTGTTATTATTATTATTATTATTATTATTATTATTATGTAATTTTACAAAATAATACAAAATATAGTTATATTTTCTTCTTTCATATTCAACATATATGCTCACATTTGAATATGAAGGACTAAATCACAAGCAGCAAAATCCACATAATTTCCAACAATTTTTTTTTATAGTTGATTAGTTTTTAAAATTCAAACAGTTAAATAATAACTATAACAATAATTAAAATAAGGATATATAATTGTATATTTTGGATAATTTTCTAAATTACACAAATAATAATAATATACAATTATGTGTATTTTTTTTCAAACTGTATGCTAATATTTGAATATAAAAGACTGAGCTTTGAATAAGCCTTGAATATGAAAGACAAGCAGCAAAATCCACATCGTTTCCATCTATCCAAGTTAAAACCCATTGGATGAGCAAAGCTAAATCGCGCTTGTACAATGGAGGGCTGTGTTTGTGTCTGTCAGTAGTTGAACATTATTGAAAGGAGTAAGAACTTGGGGAGGGGTTGGGGAGAAGAGGGGGTGGGGAGACAGTGGGAGCCAAAATCATTTTCCATTACAATATCAAAATATATCATTTTATTTTCTTCTTTCATATTCAAATAAACACTACTCCCATTGTTGTTATTATTATTATTATTATTATTATTATTATGTAATTTTACAAAATAATACAAAATATAGTTATATTTTCTTCTTTCATATTCAACATATATGCTCACATTTGAATATGAAGGACTAAATCACAAGCAGCAAAATCCACATAATTTCCAACAATTTTTTTTTATAGTTGATTAGTTTTTAAAATTCAAACAGTTAAATAATAACTATAACAATAATTAAAATAAGGATATATAATTGTATATTTTGGATAATTTTCTAAATTACACAAATAATAATAATATACAATTATGTGTCTTTTTTTTCAAACTGTATGCTAATATTTGAATATAAAAGACTGAGCTTTGAATAAGCCTTGAATATGAAAGACAAGCAGCAAAATCCACATCGTTTCCATCTATCCAAGTTAAAACCCATTGGATGAGCAAAGCTAAATCGCGCTTGTACAATGGAGGGCTGTGTTTGTGTCTGTCAGTAGTTGAACATTATTGAAAGGAGTAAGAACTTGGGGAGGGGTTGGGGAGAAGAGGGGGTGGGGAGACAGTGGGAGCCAAAATCATTTTCCCTCTCGTACTGTGAGAACGCTTAGAATCGCTTCTCTCCAAGTGGACGCGCGTCGGTTTGGTTTCAGAACCCGATTGATTCGGCCGTGTCCGCGCAGCGCCGTCCGTCCTCCCGCTTCTTAGCAAGAGCACCGACTTGCATTTTGTCTGTGGCGTGGCAATGGGACCATAAAGGAACAAATTCCATCGCATTGAAAAAAATAGAAGTAAACAAATACAACCAGTGAAGACACCTCACAAAAGAAGTGGACATGGAGACGCGCAGAGGAGATACGATATAACAGATCGGACAAAACACATCTAGGATTTACTTCTCGACTTGAACACTTTTTGTTTCCAAAGGGTTATAGAATTTTTCTTCTGCTAGATTTCTTAGTTACACGCAAGCATGAACCGAAAAGAGATGAGGTCGTGTTTGAGATGCTGGAGCGTGCCGATGCTCTCTGTCCTTCTGCTTGTCTTCTTGACACCGCTGTTTGCACATGGTAAGATTTTTCAAATGCATATTAAATCAGCTGATAGTTAAGACAGAACAGCATCACAAAATGAGAATGTCGGTCAGTAGTGCAGCCGCTGCTGGGTTTTGCTGTGCGTAAGTCATGACTGCGCGCCGGCTGCTGCTGCTGCTGCTGCTGATGATGTGCCTGGACCAGCGCCGTGGAAATGTAGGTTAAATGTCGAACTGGGAAATTTGGGGCTTCGTCCAAAATGCACATCATTAATTAAAAGGAAGGGACACCACAGAAAACATCTGCAAGCAATTTGCAGCCATTTTTGATATTAATGACCTTAAATAATGTACAAATTCCTCATTCCATATGGCTGTTTTATGCAGTAGTAGTAGTGTAGAGTTACTGCGCGGTGATTACTCTACAGAGCAGCTGTTGTCACTATGGCAATGATGGAGGCTCACAAAGGCAGGATTAAAGCGCGAAATAATTTATGCTCGGACATTATCGCGCGGCAAATCACACTGTTGTATGTGTGTAGTTTGATTTTACGCACGGAATAAGAATGTCTTTATAGTTGTAACGGTTAGCCACTTGGGTTATTCCAGAGACTGTGTCGTTCTCCTTCTAAAAGACTGCCAAAGGATGCAGGACCAACCCAATGGGAGCAACGGTTTTCTTGACCAGGGGTGTGTTTAAAATTCCTATAGATCACTGAGCATTAGAGATGATCTCATTGACGCGCGCTGTCGTTATGTAAATAAGCATGAAATAATTTAAAATCTATTGTATAATTCTACATTGGTGGTTAGAAGGTCCATTGTCCACCTAGTTGGATGCTCAGTTTCGCCTAGCAACAGGATTGGGAAAATATGGTGTCTTCTTGAATCTGCTAATAGGAATATGAAAATGGATTACAATTAGGGTTTGTTATGATATATATATTACTTGATTCCCAAAGTGGCACTACATCAGCTATACACCAGCTGCTGTGATGGCGGCCAGTGTGGTCTTGGTCAGGTAAAAATTATGTCACCGGTGGCCATGCCCTTTGTTAGCTTCATGCATGAACTTGCTTTTGATTTTAGATCGGTTCACTTCCTCCCTTCCATGTAAGTTTTTTTATTTTTTTTATTTATTTTTTTTTAGAATTTATAAAGAAATTTTTATATTGCTTTGTTGACTAAATGGTAATTTGAGTAGATGAAGTGTGCCACTGGCCATCATAGACAGCCTTTTCCAATCCATTAGGTCATTACTGGCGTGGTGTAGCCTGCAGGAAAATTTGATTTGTCCCAGTAACTGATTTGATAATGTATTCGCTTTCAATGCTCTGATCTGTATTTGCTGAATCGCCTTTTTATTGTCTCAAGAGTCCAATGGACACAGTTGCCATTTTCTGTGCAGAGAGATTCTGCTGCTGGTAGAGAAAAAAGGTGTTGCCTGCCACATCTTTCCAATCAAACCATAATGCTTGGCTGTATCATGTATGTATCATGTTCTTTTATTATGTAAAATAACTGCTCTGATGTCAACAAATGAAAATTTGATTTCAATACATTTTTTTGATTCAATGATCCATGCATGATTAATAGTAGTTTTATCAATATGTATGTGCCACCTGTTACTGTGCATCAATCCAAAGCATTGAACACTGGATTCTGATCTCAATTCCCTTGAGATTTAGAGGAGGATATCCAGATGCTTTATCCTCCAACACTGAAACCCTCACTCGATCGAGGTAATGTTGTTTGCTGTATGCCATCAGATTTATCATTCCCTACAAATGGAATCCACCATTCTGAATCTAGGCTATTATTCCCAAATGAGTAAGATGTGCAGTTTCAGTTAAAATTTCAATGCAGTCCTGAGTACCAGCAATTAAACCCCTCCGTTCTTTGTTCCAGGAATATGATGCCATTTATATAGCTTCTTAAATTACAGGTTGCAGTTTAGTATTAAGTCTTGGTGTGACAAATAGTGCATTTTTTGTCACAAAATATGGTTGTTTTGTGGATACATTTGTATATTATGAATTGGGTGGATTTGTAGGCAAAGGGGCCGTGTCTTTTCAGCTGGATCTGTTGCAATCTAGTTGAAAACAACAACTTGCATGTTTTGGGTGGTTTTGGGTGAGCTTAATCAGATTTGCATTCATTCATAATCTTTTGCTGCCAAAGAAAGTCACTGCAGTCTGTTTTCAGAGTAAGAACAAGGGGAGGAAAAATGGCATTATTGGTGATCAGATTCGTTTGTTTTAGCAATATTTTGAAGGCAGGAGTTTACTGGGTCTTCATTGCCTTTTAATTAATGAATTTAATGCAACCAGAGGAAAGGGAGTGAATTATAAAGATGTGCTGTGTTGATGTGGGCTGCTGCCATTTGGTTTCATCAGAAACTGATCACCCCACCCCTAATGTATCTAATTTAATAAATATTTAATGAACCTGTCAAAGTAGAAAAATGACAGGCTATAAAATAAAAATCAGTGGTTGTGTTGATGCTAGAAAATTAAGCAGCTGTGTCTATATATTTTTTCCCTTTTTTGTCGAAGGCTTCGCACAGATTTATATTTTCTAGGTGTTTTTTTACTTGAATTTGTATGATGTGGACTTATAAATTTGATGATGGTTTTTCACTCTGCACAGTGAGGGCAAGCTGGTTCCCATGGCAACACATCCCTCCTCCATCCAACCACCTGTTGAGTATAGAAATGAAAAGATTTATGCAACGGGAGGTGAAGAGACATGGCAGACAGTGGCAGCTGTCTGATTATGTCTCAAGGTCAAAAGATCTGACTGTTAATACCTCTGCATAATTAGTCAAGGTAAAATATTCCATGGAGGGATGGAATCCTGTGTTTTTACAAACTATGGAATTTCTTAAAAGCCTATTGAATAGAGGCATTTTTGTGTTGACAACACTGATGGGTTGCCTTTTTTGAATTTGCTCCCTATCCATCTTTATTTTTTGCATATATTCGTTTTTTGTCATTGCAAATTTCTGGAGGGATGCAGTGATTAAGGCGCTTCATCCGGTGATATAAAAATAAAGCCCTTTTGGCATCAGCTCCTGGATGTACTGCTAGACATAGAGGTTAAGGCCAGTATTCCTCATTAACACATAATGCATTTCACGTATATACACTTCCGTTTAAAAGTTAAGGGTCAGTAACATAATTTTTTTTAAAGAAATTAATACTTTTATTCAACAAGGATGCATTAAATTAATCAAAAATTACAGTAATAACATTTATAATGTTACAAAAGATTTCTACTTCAAATAAATGCTGCTTTTTTAACTTTCTATTCATGAAATAATTCAGAAAAATGTATATTTATGTTTTCACAAAAATATTAATCAGCTCAACTGTTTTAAACATTGATTATAATAAGAAATGTTTCTTGAGCACAAAATCAGAATATCAGAATGATTTCTGAAGGATCATGTGACATGGAAGACTGGAGTAATTTGCCATCAGAGGAATAAATTACATCTTAAATTGTAATTATATTTCACAGTATTACTGTTTTTACCATATTTTTGATCCAATAAATGCAGCTTTGGCATAAGAAACTTCTTCCAAGATCATTAAAAAATTTCTACCACCTCCAAACTTTTAAACCGTAATGTTACATATATTTATACTATTCTATTTATTTTTAATAAACTTTCCAAATTTTATTGTTAAAATTCCATTTTATTCCGAAAAAAAACCTTATTTTATGCCTAACCACCAGACATGTTCACAAGTCTCTGAGGTCCAAGTCAAGTCTCAAGTCTTTAAAGGGGAGTCCAAGTCAAGTCTTAAATCTTTTTGTCCAAGTCACGTCACAAATCTTTGTTCTATTTTTAGCAATAGTTCTTTCAGATAGTTAAGATTGTATGAGGCTAAATCAGTTTAGAAATATTACAACTAATTACTTCTACAGAATGTCTTGTTCATTTATTCAAAACTGTCTAATAAAGCACACAAACTTTTATCGAAATCATTCATTTAATTTAATTTTAGAATGTTTTTAAACCTTTCATTTTATTTCCTGGTATTTTACATTATTTCCGAATGCAGCAATAAAATGTGACTCGTACACGATCTTTAATTTCACGTTTTATACTATTTTTTTTATTCATTAATTTTATAGCATTTATTTTTTGCAAAACTAGTTTCAAAGGATTTATATATTTACCACTATTTTAATTCATGTTTAAATGCATCGCTTCAGAACAACATTAAGTATAAATACCTTCACATTTTTGTGATTTTATTGCACTTCAGAAGGTATGTAAAGATTCACTCAACTCACGATGTGATACAATTCACGATATTGATTTCATGATACGATTTTCTTATGACAAAATGCTGCACATTTCTTTGTCTAATTGAAATATGTCAAATAACTATTTTTAAACAAACCCCAAATCAAATAAATAACACAAATGAAAGAAGTCTCTTCGTATAAACAAGCTAAGGCTTTGTCTGTGCTCGTTCTATTTAAAATCAGAGGCAACCACTGCATTTTAATCACAATCCAAACAAAGTAGTTTTTAATCAAAATTATATTGTATAATTTTTAAATCTGAAGCAAAAACAGAACGGTCTGACTGTAATTTTGTGAAATTATACTAAATAAAACATGTGAATCCAAGATACTAAACAAAACATCGAAATCCAAGATGGCGGCGCGGTCGGACGCAGCGGCTACTCCTGGGTCCCAAAACCAGTGTTTTTATGTCTGTTAGTCTCGTTTCCTCGTCTTCGAACAGTCTCACCTTATCACAAAATCATCAGATGAACACTCGGAAACACATCGATGATCGACAGAGCCTTCTGGAAATCGGCAGTGTGTACAAACATCAGCTTTCGCCGGTGACTACTGAGAAGCTACGAGGCCTCTGTCTGCTGCTGAAGCCGAACCCCGCGGCCTCGCCTACTGATGCTACCTGCACAAAACAGCGACTCCGGCGGTGTGAGAGGGGACAGAAGCGCGGCAAGCGTGGAGGCACACGAGCTAGGCTAAGGTCTTACTCCACTAGAC